ATTCATACCTTCTTATCTTTTCAAAATTATTATTACAAGTGACATTTTTCATTGTCAGCCAAAGACATTGTCTTTTTGCAACTTCTCTTTTGCATATTAAAGAGAGCACTTCTGTTCCATTATTAGTCACAAAGTCAGTTTGCTGAACAGTTTCCTTTGTTTGCAAGACTGCCACAACAATAGACAGAAAAGAACATCTTGCAAAAGAAAAAAGAGCTTAAAATAATTTTTAAACATCTGTGCAACTCAGCCCTTACTCAGATACTCAATCTACAATTCCATGAATTAAATACAGAATACATTGCTGAGTTAGAAGTATCACTTTGCATTACTTTGAGAATAAACAAATGAACAAGGGTGAGAGACCTGAAAGTAATATGGTCATGTATTTTCTCCTTTAATGTCACTTCCATGCCATACGGTGAATATCATACATACCAGAATATATTTAAGAGAATACCAGAATATATTTAATATTTCTTCAGTAACACCTTAACATCATAAGCACTCATCTCAAGTTTGATTTGTCTGTACAAACAGAACTTGAAAACAGCCTTAAATAAAATATTACTGCATCTAACAACTGCCAATTCCAAGTTGGACTTGCAGCTACAGTGCACTACACAACCAAAAAAGATACATTTTTCTCAAGTGTGATCTCAAGTTCCCTGAATTCTTTTATGTCAGTAGCAAATAACCAAAGGAACACCTTACATAACTCCCATGACTCTCTCAAAAACAAGTGTGTACTAGGAAAACAACCAGCAAAAAGGCAAACCATTAACTGAGTAGTTTCAGAAAAACTGTCACCTGCTGTCAAAAACTAAGCAAGACTCTTCTTTCCACAGCCAAGTCTTCAATTTGTATTGTCAGATATTGAATATGTGTATGTACACAAAACAAACTTGCATTAAATAATAGAAGTGAACAAGATGTTAATTTATAATAAAACTAGAAATATGCTTTTCTTTTCAATTTTCAGAGTTCAACAATGTGTAAATACAAGCCCATGCAAACAATTCAACCACTTAACTGTGTTAAACATAGGAGACACAAATTTTAGTGCCTCCCTAATGGGTGATCGTACATCTTTAAAGTTATTTTTGATAGCTGGAAAGTGACTTGTTCAGGATTTTGTGGCTATTAGATGTTACGTAATGGCCACAAAATACATTTTCAGGACACACGTTCTCTGTATTTATGCATTTAGAAGAAGCCTCTTTAAAAATACATATGAATTAGATTTTAAGGCTTTCCAGAAAAGCCTATCGGTCTCCTTACTTCTGATCAGCTCTTTGCAGGTTCTTCTCAAAAATGTATGAATCTGCTAAAAGCAAACCAAATAACCAAACACTATAAAAGTACTGGAATCCTTGTGCAGACCAGAAGTGGACGCAACACAGTCTCCCTTGGGCAAAAATTAAGCTGTAACTGTATGAGACATGGGAGCAGCCCTGTGCCAGACCACTGCTACACCTTTGGGGTAGCAAATCCAAGTTGTGTATCAATACCATACTGAGATCATATTTACACTAAATTTCAGATAATCTCAGATATTCAATGAGCATTAGAACTGGTACTTGCAAATCTTTGAATCTTAAAAAACTAAAAATAAATCTACCAACCAAGTTAGGTTTATTTCAGTGGAAGCATTGTTAATATATAAAAAAAAAAGCTTTAATGATGCTTTTAAATGAAAATATAAACAAAAATGCAACTATTTGCAGTCTAGGCTAGTGCAGCCTAGAGTACGTAAAAATTTGAAAATAACAAATGTAAATAAAAAAACCTCCATGGATTTGACTAACCTGAGAAATAAAAAAAAAATTAAAATAAAAGAAGAAAAATTATGTTTCAGGTTATTTTAACAGCTGAATAGTCTCAGAGCAGACATTTCCTTTTTAAGGCTTGGGTTTTGGTTTTACAGCCTTCACATGAAGGTAAGAATTTTTTATGATGCTATTTGAGCTAAATGGTCTGGTCACACATAGCCTTTCAGACCTTTCTAGTCACCTGCCACATTTTATCATATGACACTCCAAAGTTCCTATTTTCCTAGCAAAAAATTAATAGGCAGTCAAGAAAAAGACAATTTAAGAATGTGTTACTTTGACAACTAGAAAAAAACCTGATCACAGCAACAGGTGTTCTTCAAGTCATATAATCCCCATATAAATTGTAATTACACTCCATCACTTGAAACCGGAAAGTTTTCCCCTGCATTATTCATAGAAGACACATGCTTGCTTGCTTGCTAACTTTTCCCTTTTCCTGCTAACTTTTCCCTTTTCCCTATTCAGTACAGGAAAAATAAGATGGAACTTATCCTACTAGTTGTTTCTCAACATGGACAGATAAGCAAAGCACAAATGTACACGGTCGTCTCTAAGAACTTTAGTTACTTAACACTGGCTATTTACTACTAATGTTTCATTCAGGGGTTCCACAAGGGCACCCTAACTACAGTCACAGGGCAGTCACAGTTGCCCACCATCCCCTGGCAGAAAACATCAGAGGCTTTCAGGCAGCTAGAGAACCATTTTGTCAAACACTGCACCAGCTCTCATAGCCTCACTGACTGTATTCAATGAAAATGAGGGAATGTATGAATGCCCAGAGTGCTGGAGTGTACTCTCCTGGTGCCACAGTCACACAGACACCAGTGAAAAAGGAGAGGGGCACACTGCAAACTTACTCAGCACCAGACAGGACTGCAGGACTACCTATGTGTTGATGTGAACACTTAATTTGTCCATCCAACTTCTACAGTGTGCTCACAGACCAAAAAAAGGCTTGGCTTTCATGGCACTGCCAAGAGATGGTGAACTACATCCTGTGTAAGCTTGACATGAGTATTCAGTGGCATTAATGACAAAGCTGGAAGGTCTGATTTGACCAGCTCGAGACTGCTGGCAGCGAGGAGTTCTCAGTTTGGAAATGCCTTCCTATTCCGAGGAGGTCAGTAGAGATGTTGAGTCTGCACCCTTATCCTGGCAAGCAGGCAGGCCTGGACAACTGGCAAATAAAGCAATCCTTAGGAGCCTGGCCTTGGTCAGAATATAAAAGCATCTTGGATGTGTATCAGATGATGTAAAGTCTTAGATAAAGTAACCGAAACTCTATACAACTGGGAGATTCTTAGTACAATGGCAAGCACCTTCTTCTTTATACATACACATCAAGTAGGGAGCAAAGACAGACAAGAATGCACCCAATCCATGCACTACAAGGAACACAGCTGGGCATAGGGACACACAAGGTTAGAATACACATGGAAACTCCTATGACCTAAAAAGGAACCCGACATAATGTGGGTATAAATGGTACTAGGAGGATATTTCTCTTTTAATCACACTTAGGCTAATTTATAACCACCAATGCTAAAACACAGGTTCTATGCATCTGTTATTTAAAAAAAAAAAAAGGTGTATCATATCAATGGCAAATGGAGCTTAGAATCTAATGTTCAAATTTAACTTAGAACCTTAAAAAAAGCACATATTTTCAATTTAACATCCCAGCAATTAACATTAAAGCCATAGAGCACTGCCTCCAAGAACTCAGAAGAATTGTTTTTCTTAAAATCACTACAGCATCCTAAAATAAATCGGGATTAAGAAGATTAATAGATTTTGAAATTTTATCAGTAGGCTTCCTGAAATTCCAATGAGTTTCTCAATTCAGGAAGAAAAACAGGGCCTATTATAGAAGGAATACAGAGCACTGTGTGTACCGACATCCATCAACAGAAAACCAGAGACAGCAATAAAGATGTTTTTTAAAAAACAAAACCAAAGCCTAAGAAAACATTAAAAGAAAAAAAATTCACCTCCCCTCCAAAATACAAACGAAGTAACAAAAAAAAGCAAGATCTAAATGATTCACAGTTTAGAAAAGCAGAGAAATGTTTTTAATTACAGTACTGTCAAACCACACACAACATTCAGTAATTCTTTTAATAGATATTTGGAAAAGATGACTTCTGACCATAAAGCTGTTTTGACCTTAACCGGTAAATTTAATTCTGAGGTTAGGCGATGTTAAATAAATGTTTCAAAAAACCCTCAAAATGTTACTAAAATCTCTAAGTGAATGCAATGGAAACTAAGAGGACAAACAAAATTTCTTCCCACAAAGTATGGTGTGGTTTGACAATACGATTGAGCCAGTCTAACACTTAGTTGTTGTCAAAAGAGTCTTGTAGACTTCCTCCTCTCCCAGCACACTTTCTTACTCCTTTCCTTTTGAAAGCACCGAGACTCTTCTGACCTAACTGTGACTCCAGTTCAAGCAACTAATCTTTGAAGAAGCTGGGTTTTTTTATCCAAGGGTAGCTTTCAGATCAGAAGACAGAGATTCAACAGCAATGCTGCAGGAGGGAGTGCAGGGCTCCCAAAAGGGACAGAAAACAGAACTGTATCTAGTCTTTATATCAGCTGAGCTGTTCTGTCAAGCTCCAACTTCAATCCCTGTAGCTCAGCTTTAAGCCTGTAACAGTTTTCTCTTGAGCAGAGCTCTGTTCCGTGCTCTGCCAATTACTGGTTTCACTACTGATACAGTCGTTGTCAAAGAAGTTTGAGTTATTAGGATCTCACCTGAAATCAGAGGCAGATATTGCCAGTCCATTACATCAGTTATTTAAAACATCCTCACAACTTTCTATTACTACTAAAAATCAAATCATCCTACAAATATGCAGACAAGGCAAAGATCAAAATTTTCGTGGTTACCCAACACAGTTGAGCAACATCAACAAATTCCATGTAACTCGGTGAATATTGCAGGAAAACCTTTATCCTTCTTGCAAAAAATCAAATTTTATTTTGTAATTTCACTTTTTTTTTCTTTTTTTTCACTGACACTGTCAGCATCAAAAGATTCTGCAACACAAAGATGCAACACTAAGACCCAGAAAAGGTGAGATCATAACATTAGGCAGCAGGTTTCTCACCAGTACTATTCACAAGCTAAGAACTACACTTTCACAAATCAATGCTTACCTTTCCTAATGCAGATCAGCTCATGTACACCACAAGTTCGTTCTCCACCTATGTGGAAATACATAATTAGAAAACAGTAACAAATAAAATATATTTGGTTTCTTAATAAGATTTATAAACAGTGTAAAGGAAAGCACCAAAACTATGTCATTTAATGAAAATGCAAAAGACCGACCTAACAAATTTTCCATTTATACATTAAATCCTTTGGAGAAAACCATAAATGTACCTTTGGCTTAGGATTGCTAATGGTGGTACAGTTTGAAGAGCTTTACACTGAATTTATACAGATAAAATTACAAAAGCAAGCACTTTAACTCAAGCCACACTAATGTTTCCCAAGTACAAAACATAATTTCCTGTTTGGAGGGAACTACCCTACAGAAGGGTATCTACAAAAGAATTGACAATAACATAATGCCAAAATAACATTATTATTATCTTCCATGGCAAAAAGAAAAAAAAAAAGGAGAGAAATCCTGTTACCAAAGGTTGGGTTTGCCTGGAATTTCTCCTTTAAAGATTTCTTTCATAAAAAAAACCCAGCGGTACAGAATTTAAGATACTTACACAAGAATAATAAAATTGTTGCTAGAAACAGCTTTCGTTTACATTTTAATGTTAGAATTGCAGCTCGTAAACAAAATGCCAGCACATAATATACCCAGTGAGAACAATGAAGGAACCCACAAAGGAAGGAGAATACATTTGGTCAACCATGTTCACAGAGAAAGGTGTGATCCAGGAACTGGACAGGAAACAAGCTATTGCTAAGCCTTGCAGAAGGAGGAATGGGCAGTGGCAAACTGTCGAAGAGATTCTTTTAATGGTTTGTAGAAATGATTGGAAGAGTTGATTTTTTTACTGTGATCGCTTTATATTGAATACATTTACAGTATTCACGATCTTCTTCTCTTTTAAATATATATCTAAAATAAAAACATTTTGGAATTATATGCCCCGTGGTCAAACCTTAGAATTCAAACTACGCCAAGCTATGGCTTCTCTTAATTACGCCCTAACACCCACTAAGCCTTCTTCCCCTGACAACAAAAGACTACAGCATATGAATATAGAAGCGAGGGGAACTGCTGAGGTTTTCATACCCAGTTCTCTGCAATCTCATAAAAATACAAAGCAAGAGATACAAAAACTCACAAAGCATCTATTCCATATGCATTAATCACTACTAGGCTCCAAATGCTTCACGACACAAGCTTTAGGTAACAAAATTCTTTCCATCTCAAAAATATGGAAATACATTATATAGCACTTATTACTCTCCTTTATTCCATAATAAATGAATTTTGACATACAATAAAGCATACTATGATATAATATCAACTAATACTTAAAACTCTTAATTGGTAACACTAGCAGATGGTGGTGTATAAGTTTTAAAGAGATCTGTATTTGTAGTTAAATTTACACTTTAAAGAAATAACTGTAGGAAATGCATATATTGGAAGGAAAAAAGGATAAAAGGGATCAAATAAATGTAGTAAAACATAACTCTTCTAAAATAAAATCAAATGTCTATGAAATTAAAAAGAATCCTCATTTTATGTCAATATTTTTTTTTTCATATTCAGTAATGTGAAATACAAGCTTCAAAGATAGTCTTGAATGGGAACTCAAGAGTCAGTAAGTCCGAGGATTCCATGAGTTTTGTATAGTCATCACCATTACAAAAGCCAGTTATAATAGCAATACGATTCCCTCTTTCCAGTGCATTCTAGAAGCTGGACAACATCATTTTAATTCAAAAAACAGAAGAAAAACTAAATTAAAAAATAATAATCTGCTTTTATGACAACAAGGCATTAAAAAAAAAACAATCAAAACAAAAACAGACTTAAGGAAAAGATTACAATCTTCTTTTATGTCATTGCAATCATCTTCAGGGTACAAAAGAAAAACCAGAATAGAGACTGAAAAGTCACTCTCTAGTCTTCTCCCTAGAATTTCTTCTCCCGATAGTCTTAAATTCAGCAGTAAGGAAATAATAAAAACTACTGAAAAAAATTAAAGAATTTTTCATTACGCAGATGCCAGACAGTTAAAAATAAAGATTCACCTGGAAACGACTAAGAGAAGAGAGCAGCAGTAGATTTAAATTATATTCACTTCCCTCAGTGAAATCAACCAGCTTGAAATCATATCATAAAATACTAATTTTAGGTTTAGATTCTGCATTGCTACCTATTGTTTTCTAAAAAAGAGATCTTTATTCAATCATTTAGATGCTAAAATATGATGGTGTTCCACTAAATAAAGCCTTTGCATTAATCTGCACGCTACTTTTTATTGATTACAAAACTATAATAAATTTATACCATTTAATATGCATTCAGTCAGGATTTTATTCCTCTTATTTTGCTAGAAAATGCTGAATGTTATTTCTTATTAAATAGGTGAGTGATCTATCACTTTTTCCCCAAACTTTGCTTTTAGATGAAAATCAACTGTGAAATGAAAACACATCAAGTGATCTACATGTTTTGAAAATAAAGTTGAAGAAAGTATCTTTTATAATTTAAGTTAACCAGTGTATTGAACACATATTTTATCCTCAATTGATCTGGGCAGATTCTTCTTTTCCCCAGTGCTCCTCAAAACTGTGGAACTAATACAGTATTGACACCTTGCTTTTATTCATAGATTAACAAATGAACACAAGTTTTTCTGCCTTTCCAACTCCCAAGAATTCTTTCAGCTTTGAACAACCTAGACACTGAAAGAAACTAAACTGAAAATATTTGGATGACAGCAAATATTTGGATGACCGCTAATTTAGCACTTCAGTCTGAAAAAACTGAGTTTGTGTCAGTTAGCCCACAAATCCCAAATGTTCAGTGGTATGACAGTCTTAAATTTTACTCTTTAAATACTATTTTTAAGTAATTGATCCTAATATAGTGTTAGTTCACCATAATTTTATAGGTAATTAAAAATTAAGTTTGATTTAGACACAAATTATTATTAATTTTACTTCATCTTGACTATGAATGTGATCTCATATTTAAGATTTTAAAATTTTAAGTGAGTTTGCATATAAAACTACATAATATTTTGTCCAAAATGTAATCTGAGAATAGAAACACACCCACCTGGGGATACAGAATTTTTCTTAATTTCAGACAGTAGAAGTAAAATGAAAAATAATGAAAGATTTAGTAATTTTAGAATTGCATATTCAACAAAACATTTTCATTTTCTTGAGTGAGAAAAACCACCTAAAAAACCATCTTAAAAATCTGAAACATTCAAACATTTAGCACAAACAGAATGGCCAGATGGTTTTCAGAGGCAGCTGAAACACCTGATGAAGTTTCATTTTCTCAGTTTAAGGCAAAGATTTTGTATACCAAGTCACTATTTGCCAAGATGACTTATTACACCAACAAGATGAAAAAGTGTACATCAAAGAAGACAAAGTATCTCCTGAATTTTGTATTAATTGAAAATTTTATGTCTTTCTAAAATGAGTCCACTTCCAAATTCAAAGTTCTACTATGTTTGGACTTCAGGTGAAACTTCACTACTGGACGCTGAAAATAATTGTCTAGGAAATGTAACACTGGCATTATCATAGAGGGATTTAGGTTGGGAATGACTTCAGAACAGGACTAGGACCAGCTTTACAGGAGATTCCTCTGGGTCTCAACCAACCAAGTTCTGCAATGCCCAAGATTCCATGACCTCTCCAGACAGCACTGGTTCCCTCTCACTGTGAGCACTTCTTCCTCACAGCCAGCCAGGACTTCCCTTGATGTAGCTCACACCCACTGTCTCATGTGCTTTCACTGCACAGCTTAGGACCTCATCTCCATCTCTGAGACCCCCTTATATAGTAAAAGGCTGCAGTAAGAGTCTCCTCCACAAATGTATTGCCTAAGTCTCTCCTCATGTGCCATGTACTCTGTTCCCTCCCAGCTTAGTGGCACTCTGCTGACAAACTCCAGTTTGTCATCCTCTCATGCTGGGTTATCACAACCGGATACAGGTCAGAGGCACCTGGCTGGTCCCTGAACTTGCTGTTCACCTCAGGGTCTTTTGTACAGGGTTTCTTCTGGCCAGCCTGTCTGCAGCATCTAGTGCTGCACGGGCTTAGGCTTCATTTGTCCTTGTTTAAGTTTCTGAGGTTCCTTCAGGCCGCTTTTTATCTTGCCAAGCACCTGCCAGACAGCAGCCCTGCCCTCCAGCTTATTAACTGCCCCCTACCTGCCATCACCCACAAACTCAGCAAGGCTACGTTCCACCCCTTCAATAAACATGTCGTACAGTCTCAGTTCCAGTACCAAAACTGTGGTGCGTAAAAAATTCATTATTCTTCAGCTCAGCAACAAATCCATATTAGCAGTTGCAGAGGAACACTACATTGTATCACAAAAGCCTTTATCATCAGGTGTAATTTTGGGGATGTATTTTTTATACGATAAATTGCTTTCCTGCTGAGGATTGTATTTTAATTAGCATTTTCATAAGTTTGGACCACATTCAACAAATGTTTACTTAACATTTTATTCAACATTAGACAACTATTTTTTCCCTTGGCAAATCCGCAAAACTCCAGTGCAGAACAACAACACTGCGCAGGTTGAGTTGCACGAAGAGGGTGAGGGGCACAGTGCTCATCACAGCCCTTGAGAGTCCATCTTGCTGAATTACAGAGGAGTAGCTGCTGCCCACGCACAGCAATGGCAAGGGACGTGCATTTCAGCAGAGCTCCTTCCCTCCTGCTCTGGGACCCCTCGTCAGACACGGTCATAGTTAAAACTACAACTCACAGGTAAGGCTTGAGTGTGCAGGACTGTCAAATGAGAAAGAAACAACAAGGCTGTGCAGCAAGTGCATGAAATAGAAGTGTTACAGGGCAGAAACATAAAATGGGATACAAGCGAATAAAGCCTAACACCATTAACGTTACCGTGTCTGAAGCATGTGGAAATACTAATGCTTCTGCTGTGAACACAAGATACTCAGAAAACCCATTCTTATGCTAAGCTGTTTCACGTAACATACTACAAATTTATCGAAAGAGACAAC